TAATCTATACCTATATCTAAACATATACATATATCTCAGATTATAATCTTAAATCATGGAAACATTCTGGTAGATTCTTTTTGCAAAAGAGAAAAGGTTTAGAAGTGCCAAGTGGCTTTCCTGAGGCTGCCCCACTACCCAGTGTGAGAGTTGGGATTCAAACCTAGTCCAGCTGGCCCCAGAACCTTAGCTTCTGGCCCTAAACTGCACTGCCCCCTACTGTCTCCATCCTCTGGTCATCTCTGTATGAAAGCTGAATAAGAATGTAGAGCATCACCTTGTTGGATCTCATCTGGGAAAGTGTGGGTCTGACATTTTTTACTACTCTGTTTTCACAACATACCTTGAGTACTGATTTTGGGGTTACAAATACATTTTAGTGAGTAAGTGAACTCAGAAATACAGAATCTGCAAATAATAAGTATCAACTATTCACTGTGTGTGTATGTGCATATATATATAAGCACAAAAGAATAGGGGAATGACTAGTAGTCACTTTTGAATGAGAAAAGAAGGGGGTAGAAGGATAGACATTACTTTGTTAAAGGAAAAAAAGAATATTTTTACTTATACATGCAGTTTATGTAGTTTTTAAATTAACAAGATTACAATAACATATAGAAAAACATGTTCAGAGTGTTTAAAACCATTCAAAACTGGAAGCAACAATCATCACTCAGCACTGTATCCTGATTAAATCTGTAACACCAAATGGAACACAATGAGAAAAACATTTAAGTACTTGCTAAGGGCTCGATGGGAATAATATTACATGGAGGAAGAGATAGCTCCACAAAACTTACATTGGGATTTGACTTTATAGGAAGAAAGTTATCAGAAACCTGTGAACAAACAAAAAATGCAAACCCTAATTCAAAACGCCAGTTACCTAACATGCTATAAGTATGCTATAAAATACATTACCATGTAAGGTGCTCTCAGCTCCGCCTTGGTCTTTGTGTACTTCTGTCTGATGGATTAATTCTTCTTTTTCTTTTTCCAGCTTACTATTAGCTAATCTAGAGCACAATGGTAATGTTATTAAAAAAACAAACAAACCAAAAACACTGTTCCACAAAATATATGGCATTTCCTATGAACCATAATGTACAGTGCTTAGAACTCACTGATATTTATAAAGGTATTCATTTACTTTCCCTGCTGCAATATTACGATTCTTAAAGAAAGATCATGGAATCAAAAGTCTTCATGTTTTTCTTAACATCTGACCTGATGTTATTTTCAAGAGATGTTTTCCTACTGGAAGAGCTCCTGAGAGCAGGCTACTCAGAACCCGGGAAGTAAAGGCTCCCGCCCCCCCGCCTCTTTCGTTAGTATTTGCCTCTGAAAAGTTAAGGTCTGTGCTACTAAGAAAGTTTAAACTACATTACAAACAATACTTATATTAGGACCTGGTTTACCGTGATTTTTCTCCCAGCATCTATTATATAAAAGATAGAATGATTGGAATTAGGAGGATAAAATAAGGCTGATAAGCCTCTTAGATAGCAAGGTTGAAAATCTTTACTCTCTAGATATAGTAAACCTGGTTAAATAAAAAGGTAAAAAAGAAAAGAGTTGTCATATGAAGAGATAACGTACCTAAGAACTTGAAGCTCCCTTTGAAGGCCTTGCTTTGTTTCAGCACCTTCAGGAATATGTTTGAGAATCTCAATCTTTGGGCATAATGAAAAGTTAGAAAACAAAGTTAGACATGAAAATGAGATTTTATAAAGATATATTTTCAATAAAGCATAATATTAAAAGTTGGGTTTTTAAAAGCACAGACAAGCATGCATCCATCATGTTCTACTCAGTGTTCATTCAACAATTACTTATTAACTACTACATGCCAAGCATTGTCCAAGGCATAGAGGACACAGAGTGAAAAAAGCAGGCAAAGTCCCTTGCTCCATGTTCCCATGGTCCTTATATTTTTAGTGAGGAAAGACAATGAGTGTGTACTGTGAGGGGATAACAGTACCAGATGGAAAATAATCCAGGGTAAGAGAATAAAGAGTGATGGAAGGTACTATAGGGTTAGGGACGGTCTAAGCCTCCATTTCAACAGAGATGTGAGCTATAGGAATATTTGGGTAAACCTTACTTGAAACAACAGCAAGGCCCTGAAGCTTGAATGAATTTGGTTTGTTCAAAGGACTGAAAGGTCAATGTGGCTAGAACACTGTGGATGAAGGGAAGGTAAAGAGGAGGCTAAAGAGGAAAGCAGATGCCAGACCATGTAGGTCCTTTCAGGCTATGAGAAGAACTTTACAATTTTACTCCAGGATAATGGGGAACCATTGGAAGATTCTACGGATGGAACTGCTATATTTGCTTTATGCTTCAAAAGGATTACTTGGAAACTATGTGGAAAAAATAGACCAGGGAAGGGAGAAGGCGAAACAAGGCAAGAGTAGAAGCAGGGAGACCAGTTAGGACAGTGATGGCGAACCTTTTGAGCTCGGCGTGTCAGCATTTTGAAAAACCCTAACTTAACTCTGGTGCTGTGTCACATATAGAAATTTTTTGATATTTGCAACCATAGTAAAACAAAGACTTATATTTTTGATATTTATTTTATATATTTAAATGCCATTTAACAAAGAAAAATCAACCAAAAAAATGAGTTCGCCTGTCACCTCTGACATGCGTGTCATAGGTTCACCATCACTGAGTTAGGAGATTATGAGAATAGTTCAGGTGTGCTAGAACAGCTTGGACTAGCCTGGCAGTGTTAGAGGTGTTGAGACATTGTCAGATTTGGGGTAGATTTTGAAAACTGAGCTAACATGATTTATGAAAAAGATATGAGGTGTGTGGGGAAAAAAAGGAGCTGATGATCTAAGGTTTGGGGCTTAAACAAATGGGTGAATGATGGTGTCATTCTCTTAGATGGGCCTTCCAGGGTAGGAATTAGTCAAGAGTTCATTTTTAGCTATATTAGACAATATCAAGGAGGGGCTTGATATATAATACATTATTTTATCATGTAAATAAAAATTACATTACTTGCCTGTTGCTCAAGGTCTTCGGTGTATTTCTTAACTTTTTGTTCCCTCTTTGTTGCTTGTCTTACAAGCTGTTTAAGATCAGTAAGGCTTTGTGCTTTTTTGGCAATATCAGTTTCCAATTCTTTCAATTTGGTTTCATACATCCTAAAAGTATAAAGGAAAATAATAGGTGTACACATGGAAAATAATTTCATTGATTTAAGACAGTTCAAATTATTGCACTAAAAATAACAAAGAATATCTTATTATACTGTTTCTTTAAGTCAAACCTTTTGCTACCTATTTATTTAGCATTAGCTGACAGTAAGTACTCATAACTAACAGACAGGCCAATTAAAAAAGAGAAGTTAGGTTTTCCCAAGGTTATAAATAAAGGTGGAGCTTGAATTTGATCACTGTAAATATTAAATATATTTTTCAGTCACAAAACAAAAAATTAAAAGTAAAATTCATTAGAATATCAAATACTATATTCTTGGATATTCCTTTTTTAAAAATATGTTTTTATTGATTTCAGAGAAAGGAAGGGAAAGTGAGAGAAAGATAGACACATTGATGAAAGAGAAACATAGATTAGATGCCTCCTTCACACTCCCTACTAGGGATCCAGCCTGCAGCCCACGCATGTGCCTTGATCGAGAATCGAACCAGCAACCTCCGGGTGCATGGGACTACACTCAATCCACTGAGCTGTACCGGCTGGGCTGTTGGATAATCTTATGAATATAGTTAAAGATCACAAGTTAAAGCATTTCATAGACACACACACACACACACACACACACACACACACACACACACACCAAAAAGGTATCCAGGTAGAACAAAATCAAAAGGACACAGGACACTGCTGGGAGAAGAGAGAGAATGTGCAAAAGCATGATGAGTGAAATGGCCTATGATGGGGAGGGATGAAGCTTGTAGAAAAGGTTCACGGAGTAGGAGAAAAGCAAGTGAAAGGGAGCAGAGGCCAGTGAGACACTACAGCGGTTGCTGAATTCATCTGTTGGGGTTATTTGAAGAACAAGTTGCACAGAATACAATGCCAAAATGACAGCCCGGCCCAGAACCAGTGTGCCACAGGTTGTGACAAAACGGCTCAATTATGCCTGGCTTATACTTGAGTAAGCTGGACAAAAGCAGTGCCCAGGAGGAGCTGGCACAGGAGTCTAGGCACCTGGCTGACAGCAGCTTCCACATGCCCATCCAGCTCCAGGAGCTCAGCCCAGCTCAGCTCTGCTCTGTCCCAGGCCCTGCCACCCAAATTAGTTGAAGGAAGAAAAAGACTCTGGCAATGCTAGGATCAAAAAAGAATAAGTATCATGTTAAAACAAACCACCGAACAGTTCATCAGGAAAGAACTAAGTGAATCAGAATAGTGTCATATTCTTTTAAAATGGCAAAATTAGAACTAATTCAACTGTGTTAGTTTTAGACTACTTATTCGTACCTTGTAACAACAATTGATTTCCAGCTCTTGCTGTCAGCACCCTCGAGCTGTGGACCTCTACTTTCCGCCAACTGTAACCTCTTTCCCGTCTCTTCTAGCTGAACTGTCATCTTCTCATTCAATATCTCTAAGTTATTCTTGGCTATCCGCAATTTCTCTGCAGCTTCAGTTTCCTGTCATTAAGAGCTAATTAGTATATTATGACAAAATGTCACACTGTTGTCACAGATGCAATATATTCAAAATGATCACTATAAATTAGAAAATAAAAATAATCTGGAGTTCTAAATGCTGATTAAAATTCCAATAAAAATCCCATGTTTCTTTAACTCTAAAACAGCAATATAATCAGAATAATGAGAACAACAGATCACTTAAATGGGGTTAGAAAAATATATTTACAAGTATTTAATTCTAGTGGCTACTCTAAATTTGTCATTTTGTTTGGTTACTTTAAGTTTGTCATCGTTGTCTATAATACTTACAGAATAATGGATAGTTTATGTCTTTACACATTAAAAATATGTTTTGTTTTGACTCTAATTGAGAGACCTACCCATATGCATATATTATGTTTAAGTACCACAGATTATTTCCATTATTAAACACCCATGTTCAAAGAACAGCATCACTCTGAAGATTCGACTTTGGGTGGTAGATACACAGTGCAATATACAGATCTTAGTAACACAGAAACCCACACCTGAAACTTATATGATCATGTTAACCAATATCACCCCAATAAATTTAATAAAAAAGGGAAACATTAAAAATACTAATTTCAATTTATTCACTAGATCATCCATATAAATAATAATACCTACTTGTTCGGGCAAAGAATATATTTTGCTACTTCGAAAGGAATCTTACTGTTCATTTAAGAAAACAGTTTCAGATACATCTTATTGCACAGTAGGCATTGTTCTAAGTCATGTGTATAAAAAGTCACTCACTTAAACCCTACAGCAGCTCTGTAAAACAGATATACTTATTATTCCCAACTTTACAGATGAGGAAACTAGGGATATAGGTTAGTAGCTTCACCTAGTTACCATGGCTAATAAATGACAGAGCTAAGATTTAAATCCCAGCTTCTACATTATACTGCCTCTTAATTTATTAAGTTTTTATTTTCAACATTCCTCATGATGAAAGGATGGCAAAAATAAAAACATAATTCACAGAAGCCTTAGTAACTACTTTGAATAAACATGTCATCAACTTTTTTCATTCAGTTTTTCCAAGATGTATTAGTTAATTAACATAAAGTAATTATAATCCCTAATGAAAGTCATACTTTTTTAAGTTCTTTACGAAGACGTTCATTTTCAGCAACAATTTTCTCTGTGCCTTTGGTCTTGGATTCATAGTGCATGCTCAACTGTCGTCCAAGATGAGCTTTAAGTTTTTCTAATTCAGCCTAGCAATAAAAAAATAGCTGTACATTAAAACAATGAAATACAGTAAAAGATGATCTTATAAACTTATCAAACTTAATTCAAGTAGTTGCAAAGATAATATTTGACATAATTATAATTAAAGTCTTCTATCTAATACTAGTCATCTACAGCATAGGTTCCCAACCCTGCTTATACACACTAGAATGAACTGATGACTTGAAAAATTTTAAATCACAATACCTATGGTAGCACCCACCCCAGAGGAATCTAATCAATCCCAGGATGGGGACTTAGGCATCTATATTTTTGAAAATAGATGCAGGTAATTAATTTTATGCTGCCAGAATAAGAATCATTGGTCTTGAAATAATAAAATGATCAAGTAGTTATTCTAAATACCCCTAGTCTTATTTCCAGTAAGCTTTTCTGTATGTGCAAAATATCTCCTGCAGTCATTAAAGCCATTTATGTAGATGGAATATATTTAAAATTTTCCTTTAAAAATTAATAAAAATTATAATAGTAAAATATTCCATACAAATGATCATATTTAAAATATTACCTTCAACTTTTCATTTTCCTGCTCAATATTAGCCATTTTTTCACTGGTCAGTATTCCTGATGCTTTTTTCAACTGTTCATTTTCTCTTTGGACTTTTTCAACTACTTTTTTCATTAAACCAATGGTTTTTTCTAGTTCTGGGATTGTCTTTCCACTTCTGCCGGACTACAAAAGAATATATTAACTTTCAATTAAGTTAAATATTTTAGAGAATATAATATAAAGTAATAATAACATACCAAGCTCATTATTATATTCATATTATTGATTTCTAACATTTGAAGCCAAAGATTATATTATTTCAATTTAACATTATAATAACCCTCTGAGAATTATAATTCTCATTTTACATACAAGAAAATTAAGAGTCAAAGATTTGATATTCCTAAAGTCATGCAGCTGTTAAGTAACAGCTTAAATACTCTATCCTTGATGTCTGTTCCAAATAAATAAACATAAGAACCTAAATATTCTATTTAGCTAATGTTCATTACAATATACCAGTTCTCTTTATATTTGATAACCCCCAACCCCCCACACATATTGTCTTTAAAGAGCTCATAAGTTATCAAATTTGAATTGCAGCATAACAAAGATGATTTTCTTTAAGAATAACCATTGACTAGAAATTCAGTTTCTGACTAATAGAAGAGATAGCTGAAATTAAAAACCTGGTGTAAAGTTATCAAAAAAGCTGGGTGAGCAATTAATAAGTTTAACTGCTTATAATTTAAAGTAAAAAGTTTTTTAATAGCCAAGTAAAATAATCTGCTTACTTGTTTGGCATTTTATGCAGTATTCACACTGTAATAAATAACCCTAAAATATAAACTTTTACATAATTTCAATACTGTATACTTTCATAATTAACTTAGAAAAGGTTAAATTAACAAATAGATTTTTATTGATGAAATGAATGTTGCTGACTGCCAACAGATATTTGTCTGAATACTTTTGTAATGACATTAAATATTTTTATCAAATCTATCATATATTTAATATTATTACTTGACAAAGTTTTTGTCCATTATGATTGCTTCCACTTGTACCAGTTAACAACATATCAACAGGGGGTTAAATATTTGGTCTTGACCTCATAGGCAACATTTATTTATTGTAAAAGGTGAATACAAAATACATGGAAAGAAAAAAGCAATAATACAAAAAAAATTTGGGAAACATGTTTACAGAGCATTATACTAAGAAGTTGCCGTGGACATCATAAAATAATTACAAAATGTTAGAATTGGACCAAGGAGCACTTAGTAGTTACCTTAATGAACAAAAGGATGATTCCTGAAAGTTAAATGTTTTCAAGGTGTGGAGAGATGTGCAACAAAAAAAGAGATGAAGTGGAGTACAAGTGAAATAAAATGCATGTAAGGTGTGACAGATGATAAAACATTAACTTGAAACACAGAAAAGCTTAATAATGTTTTATATTGTAGATGCAGCAGAATAAAAACTGAAACTGTAAACTAGTAAAGGCATATCACTGCTGTTAGGACATATCCATACTTACTTTTTCATTTCCACTTCTGAAACCAAAACAAATATATGGCATATTCTCCCAAACTTACCCCTCTAACATGGCCAAGTTTCCGCTCAACTTCTGCTTTTTCTTTTTTAAGAAATTCACACATTTCCTTCAAATCTCTTACTTGATTCTGTAAGATTAAAAGCAAACATGTAACAATTTAACACAGCTACGGCAATTGGAAAGAACTAGCAATCTGAACTAGCAATCGCTATAAATGAATAGCCAAACTCAACTAGTGGGTCTCTAGCAACAAAAATGATTTTGAACTAATACATATGTTGAATTAAAGTGTATAAATACAGTGTATTATGTATATGAATTTCAAGAACTATTTTTGCCTTAATGTACAATATAAATTTGAGTTTAGGACCCTGATTTTAAATGTCCCATAAATTACATATGTAAATCCATTTGGTATAGAGCAGCAGTTCTCAACCTGTGGGTCGTGACCTCTTTGGGGTCGAACGACCCTTTCACAGGGGTCACTAAAGACCATCGGAAAACACATATATAATTACATATTGTTTTTGTGATTAATCACTATGCTTTAATTATGTTCAATTTGTAACAATGAAAATACATCCTGCATATCAGATATTTACATTACGATTCATAACAGTAGCAAAATTACAGTTATGAAGTAGCAACGAAAATAATTTTATGGTTGGGGGTCACCACAACATGAGGAACTGTATTAAAGGGTCGCAGCATTAAGAAGGTTGAGAACCACTGC